CCCCGATCCCGACACGTCTCCATCAGGCTGGCCCTTTCAAAAGCCAACCGGTGGTTTGGACCGGCGCCGGTGTCCCGTGGCGTCACGTGACGCCGCAAGCGTCACGCCCTGGCGCCAGCTCCCCGGCAATTGCCTCAGCCCTTGCCGCGGGCCCCAGCCCTTTTCCGAAAGCGTTTTTTTGGGGATTGGTAATCCAGGGTGGCCGCGCTGCAGGCCCGGCCCACTGCACACAGGACGAGACGCCCACGCTTGCACCACCCAAAACCCCCGTTTCAGGCCCGCGGCTTGAGCCCAATAGGGGCTTGGCCAAAATCAGGGGCCGGCAAGCCAATGCCGCCATGCACCGATCGGTGAAAAAGATCCCTCAAAAGGGCGCCGGGCGGGTCAATTTGGCCATCCTGGCGTGCCTGATCCAGCTGGGCTGGCCGCGCCCGGCCCTTGGCTCCGCCGAGGAGAGGTTCGACGCGGTGAAGGCGAAGTATGGCGCCGTTGTGAGGCGCGTGGCCGAAGCAGTGGTGGAGCGCCACGGACGGATCGAGGGCCTGCTGTCGGAGGATGCCTGTGCCTGCTCCTACGATCCCTGCGGCAGGGACTTCGACTTGCCGGACGGCGACTGCATGTACACGCGGACGCCGGAGAGCGTGGCTTGTGAAACAGGCCCTCTCTGCGGCCACATGAAGGTGAGGGAGGGGTGGGAGATACGTTGCAAAGAGAAAGTGGAAGCGAAACAGGTCATGAAAGGGGCGCCCGCTCCCAAGGGCACGGCATGCAAGGGGTAGCCCGCTGCAGAGCAAGTGTGCGCGGGACTCTTTGCCGTGCTGTGAGAAGATTATGTGGAGGCCCAGGCGCGAAGTGATCACGGGGGCCCGGGGGCGCGTGTGGGAGTGTTGGTCGGATGGGGGAAGTGTGACGCGGCTTACGGACAGGTGTCGCGCCTGCGAGGCGGCCAGGTGGGGTGGAACGGGGGATCGCCTGGGCGTGGGTCGATTGGGGACATGAGGGAAGCTTCGGGGGCGCAGTGCCGCGGCGAGGCCCGAGCGGGGATGGGTGCCAAGGAGGGGTGGGCGGGACGCGAGTGGCCCGTTGACCACGTTGGTTGACAGTTGACCTCACTCACGATCGTTGACCGCATGCATCCCCTGCCCCTGCTTCGAATCAATCCGTTCTCTCTCCAAAGGGGTGGGCGTAAGATTTGTTACAGAGAGAAAGGAACTTGTCATGCAAAGGGCACCACCTCCTTGGCAAGCGCCCGTGGGGCTCATGCCCATCCTGTGAGAAGATGATATGGAGCCTTCGCTGCGAAATGTTGAGCGCACAGCGCAGGCGGCAGGAGGGGGTGGGGGTGGGGGTGGGGGTGAGGTAGGGTGGGGATGGAGGAGAACGGCTTTGCTGGATTTGTGCACCTTCGCATACCGAGGATCGGGGCGGGTGGGCAGGGCAGAGGGCACCCCTGCGCGTGTGGCCGCCGTCAACGCTGCTTGGCAGGCTCCGGCTGTGCCTTGGGGTTTTGGTCCGGTGGCAGAAGGCCAGCCGGCGCCCACCGCGCCCGGGTGTCCCCACCCCGCGTCCCTCGCCGTGCGTGGGGCAGGGGCCCAGGAAATTGTGGATTGGAGAATGTGAATAAGCCGGTCCGCGTGCTCATCACTGACCGGCGGAGTCGGCATGACGTTCGATGATTGGGGAGCGGACGTCGAAAACGCGCGTGACGTCTGTGTGACGGGTAATGGGGCTGGAGTGGCATTACAAGAGCGGGGGAGGGGGGTGGCGTGAGTGCGGCAACAACGGGCGCCATGCTCCGTGGACTTCTGCTTGGCGTGTGTTGGCGTGCGGGGTGTGACGACGTGTGACATTCCACGTGGTGCGCAACGTTGCGCGCCGTCACGCGAAGTGTAACGCAGCGGTAACGGCAGGCGGCGTCCACATGCGTGAGATCGCCGCTGTATCCCTGCTCGTGTCGCCCCTTGGCTGCCGACGTCAGATGGTGACCGTGGCTGTCGGGCGACATTCAGCTGTAGGTCGACACCTCTGCGCGGTCTGATCACCTGGACACGCTTGCTTGCCGCTGCCGCCTCTCCCACTATTGGGCCGTGTTGTGACAGGCCCAAACAAAAGTAGAATAAATGAAATAAAGATATCAGAGTGGGGAACGCAAACTAACTAAAAATGAAAACGTGCTTTCTCGGATATTGACACTCGCGGGACATGCTGTGTGCAAAATGCAGCTGGCGCCGGACCACACGTCAGTCAGGACGCCGCCCAGCGCTGTGAGCCAGGCAGAGCTGGACCCCATCGTTGTCAAAGATATCTGCCTGACGCAGGTGGGCGTGCCCAAGCGCGTTGTTGACGAAAAGCGTTTTCATGGCTGTTCTGACAACTGTGGTCAATGCCATCGCTGCATGTGGGCGCAGGGTTTGCAATGTGTGTAAAGGCAGATGTGCGTTTACGAATCACTGTGTGAGAATGATACCACGGACTTGATTGATCGCTCGGTGCTGTAATAGGTATTTGCTGCAATGCGTGGTACATTGCACACTGGCAAACAGCTTGTCGTCTCAAAGTGTGAAATGGCTCTGTTTCGCCAGTGCATCATGAATCATGCAGACATGATTTGCTGTAATTAAACGCGACCAAAAGCGTATGCAACAGCATCACTCTCGCATAATTTCATTCCATGTTTGAATCTTTGCCAAGCTTCTAAAAGCTGTGTGTTGGCGATGTGTCACTGTGTTGGAAAATGACCAGAGCGTGTTCTGTCAACAGTTGACAGCACATGCTTTGGTCCATTGCAGCCCATGCGATTACCGTATTATTGATGGGAACATGGCACCCCAGTGCCTTGAAAGCCATGGTGTGCATTTCGTCGTTGAGGGCGTGCTGTTGTCGTTTGTCATTCAAGGGTTTGGAAGGCACCTTCAAGGACGCGGCGAATTTTACTGGCGAGTTCACTCCGTGGCTATACTTTGCAGTCGTGGAGACGGGCGTCATGAGGTGGGTCCAAAGCTGAATCCATTAACAAGAAAATCGAAGGAAAGCTGAGAAGAAGAAACAAAAAGGACAAAAAAGACAGCAAGTGCAGGAGCTGCGTATGGGTGTTGTTGGCAAAGGAAGCAAAGCAGCCCTTGTGACGCGATGCAGCGTGATGTCAATGATGCGTTCTGGTGTGAATCGACACGATGTGTTAAACGGTTCTTGATGTTGGGGATATGACACGATGCACGATGGGTGGATACGAAATGGCACGATCCTATGCGATGCATGCAACAGGACGTGGAGAAGGCGGCAGCCAGCCTTACTAGCAGCTACCACTTGTCTTCAAATTGACAGTGTCCCCTGTCCCAATATCCAAACTACACGATGGGCAAACAACAGGTTTTTGCCAAAACCACCGACGGCAACATCACTCCAGTATTAGCCGTCTGGGCGTTTCACTGTCTAGTTCATCATTTTTCCTCGATGGACGTGCGGTTGACGTAAATAGTACATGGAAAGGGTGGCTCACAGCCAGCGCACGCTGCTTTTTTGCCACTGTGGGCGCCAGGCCACTGGATCCGATTGCATTGGCCTTTGCATTGGACATACGGTTAAACGCCAAAACGTCGTTGATTTTTGACAAATGGAGTGGAATGGGCATCTACTCACGCCAATTTCCAAGGCGCCTGGGTCAGCCCCGGCTAGATCGACGAGGCCTGGACAGCGCTGAATGGATGGATGGCAGCAGGATCGGGTTTTTGCCTGCATTTGATCAGAAAGTGGACTTGGGGGGCAGGTGTGCTGGCAGGACGGCGGCCCATTTAAGACTATGCTCTTCGAAGTTGTCGGAATGGCAAGCTGGTTGGAACAAGAGATGTGCTGCTTTGCTAATATTTGGTCTGATGACTCATGAAGAGATAGGAGAGGCAAACTTTGTGTGAGGCTAACTTCTTCTTATTCTAAGGTATTCGAGAGTAGGCCCTTTATTTTTTTAAGGATGGTTTCATTTAATCCCAGGAGGGTTATCAGCGAGCGAGCCGAAAGCAAGCATAGCTTGTTGTCCTGCCAGGCATGCTGTATGCTCACCCACACGTTTGTTCATGGATGCATACAACAAGACACCATTGATAGATAATCCAAGATGATTTCTGGCATTTTGCATCATTCATTGTCCCAACTATGAAACACAATATAGCCAAAATTGTACCACTGTGTTGCTGGACATCTCACAGTTTATGTATATGTATGCTTCCACAAGAGCTGTGACCAATCGCCTTGCACTCTGTTGCTGGGTGGCAGAATTCCCACATATCTTGTGATAGGATGGGGGAGGCACCTGGACACTGAAATGTGCTGCAATGTTTTGGATCTGAAGAAAAATGGCCATGACCGCACTGGCCAATTTGGATGAAGCGGTTCAAGGTCTTCGAGATGGCGAGAGCTAAATTACTGCATCAGGGTTTGTGTCCTGGGAGTGCTGTGTGAGGGCAGGCATCCCACACCTGCCTGAGTTGGGTTCTGCATGTTCAGTTTGCATGCATGCCTATCAGTGTTGTATCTTTTAATTTTTTCTGTGCAGGAGCTGGCCATTGAAGGCAAGTAATAAGAACACAAATGGGGAGTGTGCGCCATATGATCCGGTGCGCAGTCCTGCTGCACACGACAAGTGGATGACTACATGTGACTATACATAGTTATGTGCTTCAGTACTGAAGTAGAATGGTGTTGTAGAATGAAAATGTATGTATGAATGTAACCATTCCAGCAGTGTTGAATTCCACACACTGGTGGTGGCAAATGCCTCAACTGAATTTAGATCACTAGCCTGCTTTGGTGTTTCTAGCGGTGTCCAAGGACCTGACAAAGCTTGGCAAAAGCACTTTGCAGAGCACATTGAGGTTCTTTTGTGACCGGCACACATTGGATTTTATTGTCTACCAGCTCATGTGTATTGTGTATTGTATTGTGCCAATTGCGCACGGCACAAGGAAGCACATGCATCGATGATGGGCGATCGCACATGGATGCCGCAGGCAGAATGTGTCCCAACATGCTGTGGTCTGACATCTTGTTGGGCAGCTCCACACCTTACGATGTTCTCCTTTGGCTGTGCACCAAACGATGTTGATCATTAACTGATGCTCCTTTTTGTTTGGCACGTTCTGGTATTTGATTGATGTCCAGTTGAGATTCCGTTATTCAGTGTGGATTGACACATATGTCAAGTCACGCTTCACGTCATTGCCCCAGCAGTAACGGTAAACAATAAAACATAAAACAAGAAAACAATAAACAATAAAACAAGCATGTGTGTGTGGCACATGTGGCCCTTGACTTTTGTTTCTTCGACTGAGGAAACCTGCACCGATCACAAGCATCAAAGATGACAAGTCAATGCACTTACATCCATAAGGCAATGCCAGCTTGTCATAATGCAAGTGCTATGGCACATTGTTGGAGCTTGCCCAACCAACTGCATGGCATCGATTGGCAAAGCATCCTGTGCTTCTTCAGCCGGATAGCATAGGCATCGATGTTGTTGCCACTGCTGTGCATTTAGCCTGCTGTCAACCATGTTGCTGAGTGACGCCGGTGTGCGCAGAGACAACGGCCGTGGTACAAAATTGCATCGTCTGAGCCAAAGAAAGTGGTCATAATTTTGGAAGCTTCTGGTGAGTTTTGATGCATTAGCCTCCTCCACATACCTTGGAAACACACCATCATTGTGCCATGTCTCTCTTTCCTGCTTGGGCAATTGGGTATGCACTCTCAAAGTTAACAGCATGGTGCAGTTCTGGCAACCATGTCACGCATAGCCCTTGTTTGCATGCTCTTTCTGCCATTAAAAAATAAAGTGGAAAATTTTTCTAAAATTTTGTATTCTTACATGCTTGTTCCTTGCAGAGACTATGAGCTACCCGATGCACCTTGGTGCGGGCGACAATGGCCAGTCTCGCTGGGATGTTGCCGTCGATGCGGTGGACGCCTTGTTGACCACGTTTGACTCAGCCAAGGATGTGTTCAAAATTGTGGCCATTAACTCGAGGGCGGTCGTCTTGGGGGGAGGGAAGGGTCTCTTGAGGGCCACTGATGGAAATACCAATGCATCGATGGTCGCCTTGCGCAGCGTGGAGCTGGGCCCAGGGGTAGACAACAAAATCGGCTTCGATGCTGCATTCGATCTGCTGGAGGAGACGTCTGAAAATGACGGATGCCAGAATGTGAGAAAATGCAACTGTCTTCTGACAAAGAAGCATGTACAAGGGTTGCACAACCGCAATATGAATCTGTTTTGCTTCGTTGAAGAAAATGAAACATGCCTACAAATTGTAGTATATGCTGTTCGTTGCACACACATACATGCGCTGCAAGGACGCCCCAGCTGGGAAACAGGAATTCTTGCACTCCATAGCTGATCAGGTGTTTCAGATTGAGGCAGAATCGTGGCTTCACTTCACTCGTATCAGTGCGGCTTTCTTATTGCAGTTCTCTTCGTGAATCGATTACTGTGCCAATAAGCCAATAAACACCCCCCCAAATTCATTCTTCAGCGCTCCCTGCAGAGCACAAGAAATAGAAGCCCTGTTCATTCGATTCATTGAAGATCAATATGCTTGAACATGCACAATAAGAAGACGAATGTGAGGTCAAAAGAAAGAGAAACAGGTCATACAAAGGGTACCCCTTCCCAGGCAAGCATACGTGAGGCTCCTTTTCACACTGCGAACAGATGATACAGAGCTTGGAGGGGGGGAGGGGGGGGTTGCGCGATCTCAGCGTCCATTTGACACCAAGCATACAAAAGTCAAAACAGTGTCCTCCTAAACCCTGCTGTTCAGTTCATTTTTGAACGCTGTCCTTCGTCTGGAATATCCAAAGAGTGCTGCATTGTCGTTTTCACATATTGTGCGTAGACTGAATGTCCGATATGGCCTTTACTTCTTTTATGGTTGAACATATAATATTGCCATGCATGCTCTGTATCCTGGTGACAATTGCGTGCGCATCGCTTCAGATAATTATCCATATAGGCGATGGCAGCGATTGCACGGCAAAGGCCGGGCAGGACTGCCAGCTCACACAGAATAGCACGGACGAGGGCCGCTCGCCCGACGGCATCCTCAAGAATCTGGAAGCCGTGGAGGCAAGGCAGATGGGGCTGGAAGAGGCCTCTGGCCGCGCAGCCATCTTCACCCTTACTGTGCAGGGAGGCGAGGACAGCCTCGCGCGGCAGCTGGCATGCCGCAATGGGGGGACCTGGTCGGTGCTGGACGGTGGGTGGGTGGGCACCATCTTGCCATGTGCCTGGCACCGATCTGGACTGTTTGCGTTTGGTGACAGAAGGGTAATAGCACACTTCAGTGGGGCTGTGACTGGAATGTGTGGCAAGGAGTCGCTAATTTTGCACAGTTCCCACTGACAGAATTGTGCATCAGCGCGTGAAACTGTTGTGCACGAGACACGCACTTTTTATAGCACATTAGAGCACTTTACATCGCTGTGTTGGGAGCAACTTTGTGCAGACTGGTGTCTCCAGTAAAAGTGGCTGTGCTGTGCAATGTTGACTAAGTTCTCAGGTGCCAGCTCTCACCAGGGATGTGTGCCCTTGTCGCATTGCCCCAGGGAGGGGCGCGCCACTCAACAACATGGCTGCCTACTTTCAGTACCTGTCTTTCTCCATGGAGCTCCACGCAAACGTGTCGGATGTCACCTTCTCCCCAGTGTATGGCGACTTTGGGGGGTTGGGCGACATGACTACCGTGGTGTGCCCGGTGTTCGTCAGCCCGAAATGCAGCAACGGCTCAGAGTCAAGTGAGAGGCTGTTGCTGGGGGTGGTGGGGAAGGACGTCACGCTGGAGATGTTGGAGGAGGAGGGCCTGAGACGGGATGAATTGGAACAGAAAATCGACGAGAATCTTGGAAAAGCCAGGCAGTGCAGACAGCACTACCACTATTCGAATTGTAAGATGCAGGTGAGCAGGGGAGGCCTTGAGGCGATTTCCAGGCAGCGGTGAGTGGTGTGACGCTGTGTTTGCATGTGATGCGGAGGGACACATTGTAGGGTGGCAGAGCTGGCTTCTTGGACAACCAGGAATTTGCTTGCGAAGCGAATCCGTGAGCCAAATTGAGATATACCGAAATTGTATTGGGCTAATCTTGGGTTGCATTGTTGAGATACGATTCCAGCTTGGGTGCATTGTTAAATTCTGATGGTATCAGGGACGGGGATCAGGGAGCCAAGAGTTGAATATGGAGAAACATGTCTTGCGAAGAGCACCACTTGATGGGCAAATGCGTGTATGCCGCTGTCCTATACAGCGAAACGATGATGCGGAGTTGCCCATTGCAAGATTACGAGCACACAGACCGAGCAATGCAAAGTGCAAGAAACCAGCCCTCAGGGTGCCTGCATGAGCTGGTATGCATGTTCATAGTGCCCGGTGTAATGCAAGACCACCAGAGACCTGCCCATCTCACTCAGCACCCAACTAAACTGTGAGGGTGGCAAAAGCGGGATGCGCTTGTTTGAAATACATCAGTGTCAACTGCCAGATACACAAGTGAATTTTGTCATGGAATTGGCGCCATCAAGTGACACAGCAGCACATGGTTTAACAGGCACTGACATGCCACTGCATGCAGCCCCCACGAATGCACACTGAGCCAGCTGTTGCTCAGTGCATTCCATTTGGTGTGTGAAGCAGCATAAACCACCAAACAGTGCGATGTGGTAGGAACGATATCAATACCCTGCTTCTGGAATTTGTGGTCAACATGTTGTGAATTGCAATTGGTAGTGAGGAGCGCTGGGAGAGACAGACCACATACTTTGCAGTATTCGCTTGACCCTTTTCTGTTGCATGGCATGGCATGGAACTCTAAGGTTGTTCTCTTGCCGTATTGCGGGTGTCCACCAACTGGGGTGTTTCCCCACCCAGGCCCACTTGGCTGGCACTGTTGGCCCTCATGGACCACCGTTCACCTTTCTATCCCTATTTGCTGTCTTTGCCATCTGGTCACAATGCCCCCCTTTGTTGGGTCTAGTGTGCCAATCCTTGAGCCATTCCACCTCAGCCACCTTAGTTTCCACACCTTAGAGGTGATGCTGTTTCTGCTGTGAGGCTGCACTCATTCACGGCTTGTGCTTTGAGACAGGCCCTGCGCAAGTTTAGAGCGCGCAGGCCAAGCCAGGCTCAGTGCCCAGCCAGCAGGTGGACCGCGTCCGATCCGGACAAGTGCTACAAATTCAAGTCCAAGGTCTACCTGCTGGTGGGTGAAGCTGTGAAGTTCGAGGCAGCCCTGCAGCGCTGCAGCGATCTCGGCGGCCGGTTGGCAGAGCTGGGTCCGGCGGACCCTTATGAGCAACAGCACTTTCTGGCATCGATCGTCCCCCCTGACGGGGCGTGGATCGGACTGCAGCCTGTGGGGAGGGACTGGGTGTGGGTGGGGTCACAGAGGCAGGTGGGCGCACAGCCCTGAGCTGGGCTGTTTTCTTTTCATCATAGAATGCTGCATCTCGCTGCAGACTCCAGGTGCCTTCTGCACCCTGGCATGAGTGATGTGGGCCCTGCGCCATCTCATCATTTGGTTTGACTTGCCGTGGTACCAGCGTATGTGCTCTTTGCATTGCTGGAGTACTTTTGACATAGACATGTTGACGTTGACATATAATGGTGCTTTGGCAACGTCCTGGTGCTGTTGTATTGCGCTTGTGCTTTATTGTCCCAGAATGTTAAATCGCATACAACAACAGAAAAGAAAGTACAGCATTGTGCTGGTCAAGGAGTCGGCCACAAGTGTGTAAGTTGCTTATGTCCACCAAGTGTGGAGCCTTGGGGTGCTGCCTGTCCTAAGTGGTGAATGAAGGATCGCATCCTCATATCAATCGCAGAATACAACGCACTGGTCCTGTTGCATTTCACCACAGAGCATGGATCGTCAGTAGGGGCCTCGTTTTCGACGCCCTACAATGACCTCACATTGCTTAGCAGAGCAGCCCATCCCCAGGCCATCGGAGCATACATGCACACAGGGCCACGCACAGGAGAACAACCCGGAGTGCACACAGCATCTGTCAGTGTATGGCCTTAGGTGGTGCCGTGTGTCTTGGTGGTGCTAAGTGCTAAGTGCTAAGTGCTAAGTCTTGGCTAATGCTAAGTGCAGGGTGAACACAGTGAGGTTGGCACGAAACAGAGACCTTGTTGTTGCATGAACCTGGAGCTGCACGATTCTGGACTGAAATTCTGAACCATGGTGGCATGGGCAGGCACAAGGGGAACGGATGTGGATCGCAGAGCCGCTGAAGAACACGCTGTGCCGGGGAGGCTTCGTGGACCCCAGAGGGATAGAGTTCAATGTTGGTGCCAGAAAATGTCAAGAGAAGACGGCGTTTGTTTGTGAGTTCAATTCCACTGCAAAGGACCTGCCGCCTGAATGTCAGGTGTGTTTTGTTACCACTTGTTGATGCCGGTGGTTGGGGAAAGAGGACAGGTGCTTTCTCTGAAAGCCCTGCTGCAAGGGACATCATCTACATCATCTTTTCACAGCAATGGGGAGCCTCACTCACACTTGCTTAGCAGGGGGTGTTCTTATATCATCTGTTTGCTTTTGGGGCATGAGAAATCGTGCCCGCTGCAAATGGCCTGCAATTGCTATGGACGGAGTGACTGGCTGGATGGGTCCCTGCAAGCACGTACCAACTTGGCACTGTGTTCATCTTCTCAAGCACGCTGTCAGAACTGGTTGATGTCGAATGTTGTAGACTATGCGCACCAGCATATATGAGATAGGCCAAGACGTTGTTAGGCCAAGTCCTGGCACAGTGTGTGCAAATTCCGCTTGCTTGATTGTAAATTTGGGGTTGAACGCATGGCTTTGGGAGTCTGCTGCTATAAGCTAGCACCTTTGCGGTGCATTCATGAGTTGGACTTGTTGAACCATACACAGTGAGACTGTTATGTTTCAATCTTTTGCCTGACCATTTGTGGCTACTGTACACACTGTACCCTTTGTACCAGATCCTGGTACCACCAGCTGTGCAAAATCTTCAGTGTCTGACAGAAAGACCCTATTGAACTTGCTATGATGGGGCTTGGGTATCGTTGAACTCAATGACACAGAGCTGAGATAAACCACTTCGAATTGTGAGCATGGCCAAGGCTGATGTCCTTTGCACGTGGGCAGCAACAATCCACCATCCTCTCGTGCTGTGCCGCCAGGGAAACACCACGGTGGTGTCGCCTGAAGAATTGAATGCCACCACTGCTGAGGGATGTCTGGGTTCCCAAGCATGTGCTGTGGCTACTGACAATTTGCAAGTTCCTGATCAGCTTCGCAGCAAAGTCATATGCAAGGCAAAGGAGCACAGGCCAAAGCAGTACAACGAACTGGTGTGCTGCGCTCCTCAAGACCTGCCGGAGGTTTGCTTGACAAAGGTCAGGAGCTGTGTCAAGGCAGTTGCCAGGGACGGTGGTTTGTTTTGTAAGGAGCGCAGCATTGGCACGTTGTCCTGAAAGGACGTTTTGCATCCACACCGCTCTGCCACATTTGGTTTCATGAACGTTATTGAAACTCTCATTCAAGGCCGGACCCCAAGATCACTTGTCTTGTTGCTGTGGATGCTGCAGTGTGTATGTTGTGTACCTCAAGTTCAGAAACTTCTGTCCGAGCATTGGAAGCCTGAAACATCATTGCACAGGAAGGGGTTGCCCACAATTCTTTGCATTTAGTTTGTTGTTGCCTAGAAAGGAAAATCCTTGGTATGCAATGGCGAAGACAGTGCTTTGCTACTACTTGTGCCACCGAAGATTGCATGCTTTTTCCTCTTGCTGGGCTTAGGGATTTCTACATCATGTCCATCGCATGCAATAGAGAGTGCAAAATGTCATGCGTGAGAGTGGGGAAGGCCATCTGAATGGCGAATGACTTGTGCCACTCATTGTTGTATGGTGCTCTTGTTGATGGGCTCACAGATATCTCTATCATCTTCAGAGCATAGATGGGAGTTTCAGAATGTTGTTCATATTATATACTAGCACTCTCCTGAGGGCCAGTGTGCACATCCTCGCCAGCGCGTATTTCTGGTACGACTCACATTATGATGTGGAAATGGAACAGGAACAGGCCTTGGCGAACACCAGCTCAACACCTCAGAAAACGGTGAGCGGCCTCCTTGCTACCATTCTGTTCATATGAAGCCATTGCCTGTCTTTGCCGCCTGGCGCACCTTGCTTGTGCAGACTCCTCCTGAGCAAGGCCAGTTGTGGTTTCCTTCAGGGCCGGTTTCTTTGAGCGCTATGGTATATGTCTCATTGCTGTGGAGTTCTCATTGTCATCATGCTGCTGTTTCCCCTTGCATTTGTACTTCCATTCGGGCCGTGCCCGACCAGACCCCAATGTTGTAGCTGCATCGCTTTGTCTGGGGCTCGTGAATCCAAAACCCATCAACTACAGCAAGCCCCCCTCCACTGGCAAGACATATATGAAGATGGTCGTCCAGCAGCTGGATGGAATGCTGGTCTTTGGGCCTATGTGGAGTGTGTGTCTATATGTGTGACGTGGTGACAAAACATTTGGCTGCTGTGACATTGCATGCGATATGATTCAACACAACAGCACATGCACACGTGCACTGTTTGTGTGCTTGTATGACATTGGCGCTGGGGTGGTTTCATCTGCTGAGCTTTGCAAGGTCACTGTTGACATAAGAAGAATTTGATTTTCTCTGTTGATCTGAACTTGTGTAGACACATGCCATGACCAGCTTACCATTTACACCTTGCTGTAGTGGATGAGTTCATTCATAGAGCATATTGAAGTGCGGATCAGTAGCTGCTTGTGTTTGTGAACTATGTCCCCTTGCAGCAACCTACGATGGTGTGTAACAGACCTGTGTTAAAAAGCTTCTAAGAGTAAGCGCACCTGGGAAGACAGCTGAGAGAGCTTAAAGGGCCACAGTGGCTGAAATATGGGCTACCTGGTTCTTGTTTGGCAGACCAATGTCAATCCAGTGGATTGACCAAAACATATCACAATATGCTGTCCTTGAACATTCTGTCAGCCACCATCTGTGCAGTGCCCTGTTGTGACTGCCCGACGCAGTGGGTGGACAAGTACTTTGACCTGCACAAATGCACTGAAGTAATCATTCAACGATCCCTTTGCCAGGACACATCGTCAAGCGGGAATTCATCCCAGATAGCGGCTCTAGCTGCTGCTATTGCCATCGTAGGGGTTGTGTTCCTGGCGCTGACAGCGATGCTGGCAGCGGAGGCGAAGTCGCCAGGAGCGTTTCAGAGGGCTTACGAGGGGATGGTGCACAGGCGAGTCTCTGAAGCGGCTGAAACCCGAGACAATATGTTCTTTTTCCCCAATCTTTCAATGGAACCGTGCCTTCTGGCACGTTGCTTTCACGGTTGGGATTACTAACTGAAGAGATTTGGGGTGCTGGCAAACTGATTGGGCAGATTATTGTTTGCTACCCCTTCATGTCTTGACTGCTGCCAATGGAAGGCAGATTGCGATGGAAAGAGAGTGCAGGTCCATGGCCTGTGTTTTGGTTGCGGTCATATGCATCCTTGGCTCTGATGTTTTGCGAAGGTGTTGAGGCTTCTTGGGCCATTGCACTCGCCGGCAGGGCAGGGCAGTATTGCATTGTTTGACAACAACCATATGGCACACAGTGTGAATGCCGCAAGTGTAGCTGCTTTAGATTAATGACCCTGCCTTTTGATTTGGCGCGTTGCCAAGGGGCTAGGCATGAAACACGATAGTGTTCTTCAAATTTTCAGGATAAACCAGCAGGTAAAAGTACACCCTCAACGAAAAAAGGAGGTGTTCACACCAAACGGCATGCAGACAGGTACCACAGACAGGTACCTCAGACAGGGAGCACAAGAGTGAGAAAATGCGGATGCAGCAGTAGGTAACCCATGTGAACTCACCGTGTAGGAACCCGCACACCCACTTAATTTCGAAGTGAAACAACGCAAAAAGAACTAGGCCGCACAGTCCAATGAAGTGCTTACAATTGCATCGAAGCAATTACTGTTCAGTGCCTCTCCAACAGTCTTGGCAGGGATGCTCTCGGTTGGACGCAGACGAATTGTTTTCCTTGTGTATGGTTGTAGAGGCCCTGTGGACAGTGTACTACTAGTCTGTGGGTGGTTGATGGGATTTAGACTTCACTTGGTAGGTGTCTGTCTTTGGTATGGTCTTTCGGCATTCTTTTTCACTCCTTGAATTGGTGTGTCAAGGTGATTTTGTTGTGTCCATCAAAAGCCAATCCAACGTCCACCGAAGGCTGATGACTGCCTTTATGTCCAAGAAGTTTCTTCAAAATGTTTGTGTTTGTTGGACACAACAGACATTCACCTACATTTCCTGGATTTGCGTCGATTTGTTAGTTTCTTCAATTTATCTAATGACCTGAAGTGCAAGCCCTATAATATGTGTTTCCTCTGTCCAATGCCACTAGTTCTCAAATAAGTTCACAAAATACAGCCCCTTGCTTTGGAATAGGAACAATGTTGTCCACCTAAACTACACACAGTGTTGTCCACCTAAGCCACACAAGAATTAGCTATGTTGCATGTGTGCTGCTGGTAGTTTCAAGTGGTCTTGGTCTGAGCCTGTCCCTTTACACCCTTGCAGCAATATGGACACACAAGTTTGTGGCTTATGTTTTGGAAGAGGTAGATGTGGAGGGGCTGCATCAGCCCGCAAACCAGTGTGTCTGAGGAGGGGGTGTAGCTGGGTGCCAGTGCCACTGATTGACACCATGGACTGGCGACATGGTTTCGATTGGTTCATTTGGAGAACACATTGTTGCGATTTGCCATGATTTCGATCTGTCAGTCCCCCCGTCCACCCCACCCCTCACCCACCCCACCCACCTGCTTCCCCCTTTTGTTGGGGGTGTAATGCTGTAGTTTTTCTTCTTTGGGTTTCTCCATTCATTCTTATATGCACAACTATTCAAACATTAAATCGCCCTTCACTTTCTGGTTAGAGGGCACATGGCTCACAACTCTCCTGTTATAATGGGGCAGCCCCTGGACTCATGAAAGTGTTGTAAGAATCTGGGGAAAGACTAGCAGGAGTATGCCAGAAGTGGTCACGTACCTGTTTGCTCTGAGGACGTCACTTGCCAACAGGAATTGCCCTAAAGGTCAGCTATACCCTTGTCTATGTCACTGCATCAAAGAAGATTCTCAATTTCTAGCCCTGAGCTGTAGTCGGTCTTCACGGTATGAGAGAGGCGGTGAAGGGCTATTATTCACATCAAATAGATGCGAACGATGTGTGCTGAATCGATGTAGGCAAGCGAGTGGAACGAAGGGATGCACAATGTACACAAGTGACACTCACAGAATGAAGGGCAGAATTGCATTCAGGACTAACAGGAGCATCCACTGTACATGTTGCTTTGCAGGTACAGGGGCACAGTCTCTGCAGACCCCGAGGCCGGCACGACACCCACCCAGCACAACCAACAGAACGGTGCCCTGAATGATGAAGACTATATAGCCTTCGTGCCCTCTGATGTGAACAGGACCTTGTCCACAATCCCCTCCGTCACTGAAGATTCCTGCAGCTCCTCAGACTTGATGGGGCCAGTGGCTGGCCACAGCATACAGCACAAGGCACCTGAGCTCAGGCTTGGGGTGCCCACCAGGATGATCAGAAAGATCAACACCCTGAAGGAGGCCACAGCCCAGCTGATGTCGCCATTTGAGGTGGAGAGCAACGTGCCCCAGGACCTGTTCCCCATCGTGGCGACACCCCCAGATGTCAGGTGGGCGCCAGCGATTCCGGACATCGAAAACGTGATCGCGATGGAGGGAGGATGGGCGGTGGCTGGGGAGCATGGATCTGTCCAGGAGGGGGTGTGGGTGGACGAGGAGGGGCGGGCACACAAGGTGGCAGTGAAGCGCAGGAGGGAGTGGTCGAACGAGGGTTGCTTGCAGGCTCTGAGGAGAGAGTTTCAGATGATTAGCAAGGTGCCCTATCACCCGAATGTCGCCTGGCTGGTGGGTGTGCACTTTGGGAAGGAGCCGTTTGTCGTGGAAGAGCTGATGGCCAAGAACCTCCAGCAGGCAAGGCGAAATTCGCCTTTTTATTCTTTGTGCTTGCTTTGATACATCATTCCGACCTCATTCAGAATGTGGTAATCCACTTGGATCGCACCCTGAAAATCATTGCAAATTCGTGAGCGACGTGGCGGTGAAGAATGAGACCAAGCGTTGGTCACCAAAGTACAGTATTGCGCGATTCAGTCCAGTTTGGTTACCAAGTTTGGGGGCAACTAATGCATGACTTCGAACAATTGTGCACTTTAATTTAATTGTGCATTTTTAATTTAATAGACTGTGTGAAATGCCCAATTTCGCCTGCAGGGTGGGGTGTCCGCTTTTCCAGTGGTTTTGTGTACACTTGCCCTCCAAATTCTCCCCAACATGTCTGTGCACCTATGCATGTCAAATGCGTGCGTTGACAGACCAATGTCAGTTACTGTGGAATGGACACGATGAGAAGGCAAGGGACGAGAGCCACGAGCCATGGCTCATGACGTGTTGTCGATGGCAGGAAGTGTGCACTTTGTGTGCTTGGCACAACAATCAGACAGTCAACTGACACCAGTCGAAACCGGTATTCTTGCGATGCCAGCTGCGATGCCATTTGACACTAATTGATGGCATCGCAACCACCTTCGTGCCATCGCAGTGACTGCGATGGAACCATTTTGTGTCAGAATGACATCGCAGTTGGCATTGCAAAAAGGTGTTTTCTTATGTCTTTCTTATATCTTTCTTATAACTTTCTTATATCTTTCAGCTTTGGGCACATGGAGCTTGGGACACCTATTCCAACAGGTTGGCTTGCTGCTCTGAGCAAAGGGGGCCTGGCGCGTTGGCCAGCAGCCTCAGAATCCAGGCTTGATTGGCCCGACTGGATTGATCCAGTTCATAATCCAGATCAATTCATCCAGAAAATAATCCAGAATATTCAATATTGCTTGCCTTTTCTTTCACTGACGGTGGCCGCCTGCCTGCTGCGAATCAGGTATTGCACGGTGGTGGGCCGCCTCTGACGTACTTCGACATATTGAGGATATGTTTGGACGTCACGAAAGGCATGAACCACCTGCACGAGCACGGGGTCGTGCACTATGACATCAAGCCGTCAAACATTCTCATGGACAGTCACCTCCAAAACGTTAAATTGGCAGACGCCGCGACCTCAAGGTGCGAGCTTACTTTTGTGTGGGGCAAGATGATCGCAGTTGGTCAATCAAGAACTGTTTGTGCGATAAAGCCTCGCTGTTGAGGAAAGTTCTTTGTGTACACGGGCTTGCCCTCTCCTAATCCACTCCGCGTTTATGAACTCAGCCAGCATGGCTGTCCCTAATTTCATAGGCCTTGCGTGTCTGGTTTCTGGCGTTGTTGCATTCCGAGGACAGTTTTCCGGTTCTTTTGTCGAGCCTGTGCTGCGCGATTGTCTCAAGCCACTTTGGATCATCTCAATCCTGCCGCACACTTGAATTGAAGCGAACGGAAAGATCTGAATCCACCGATTCGCCATCCTACGTTGAGACTTGAAAGGGAAACGACGAGAAGACAATTTCGAGTATCGACGCCAAGACGGTAACGTGGTCATGCCCAGCCGCTGCGCAACATCCCAGATGCCGAAATTTTGTGGATTTCTGGCTGCAAGAAAGTCAGCAAGCGATGTGGTAGATGGAATGATCACCCCTTTTCAGCAGAATTCCCCTAACGGCGCTCACTCAAACTGTATGAGCACGACGGTGTTGCGCTGTTGACCGATCGTATTTTTGGACAATCGTCGAGTTTCAGAGATCAGGGGAAGGAGAGCACTGTCAGCCCCCCAGAAGAACAGGCCATGCGCTGCCCCAGGAAGCAATGTTTTGGTCCAATGGAAGCCGAAGTGCAGCCGCAACAATGTCCACAGCCCACAGGCTCCAGCGTTTCAGGACAAACCACCGACGCCGCCACATCCAAAGGATCGCATTTGCAAGAATGCAAGCGGGCACCCTGAACCAAACAGTCATTCGACTCTCCTTTGGGAAACAGTGGTGCAAGCAAGTACTGCAAAGGTTTAGACCCTGCATCACTATTTCCAAAACGAGTGTTGTTCGTGTGTCCATGGCTTTCAGGCTGAAATGGGACGCCAAATCCATGCGCGGCTCCTTTGGCCACTGCGCCCCGGTGGTTCAGGCGGATGGCCTCCCGCCGCTCCATCCGGCAGGGCACGACCCAGAGGCTGCCACGCCTGCCCAACCCTCAGACGTCCATAGTTCCGTATTGGTGGACGTCTACGATTTGGGGATGGTGATGCTGGTGTGCGTGACGGGTGGGCCGGACAGCGGCCACCCCAGGGCCGAAGCGCAGTGCCCCCACGGCCTGTGGATGCTGGTGTGCGTGACGGGTGGGCCGGACAGCGGCCACCCCAGGGCCGAAGCGCAGTGCCCCCACGGCCTGTGGAGGTTGATTCAGCGGTGTGTTGGGGAGGACCCCTGGGACCGACCGAAGGGCGACGAGATTGTTCAGGTGACGCTCTGTGGCACAAGCATGCTTGTAATACTACAAGCATACAGCACGAGCATACACTAGCGACTGCTCGCATAAAGGGATGCATATTGCATGTCCTGTGTCCTGTGTCCTGTGTCCTGTGTCCTGTGTCCTGTGTCCTGTGTCCTGTGTCCTGTGTCCTGTGTCCTGTGTCCTGTGTCCTGTGTCCTGTGTTCTACTAATGCTATATATGCGTGCCCCATTTGTGTGCGGTTACTGTTGATGCATTCGCTTCGGTGAGTGCTATACACAGGATGCATGTGCTATGTACACCAGTAGAAAACAGCCTGTTTGCGATGCCAATTGTGATGCAATTTGACACAAATTGATGCCATCACAGCCGCTTTTAAGCCATCGCAATCTATGTGACGGCATCGCTTTGTGTCAAAATGGCATCGCAGTTGGCATCGCAAACAGGCCGTTTTCTGCCAGCGGTGTGCGTCCTCCTTGTATGTGCGGTTGCCACAGATGCATTCGCTTCGCTAAATGGAGTCCGCCTATGTTGCCAGTTTTGGCTCGCGCTCAGGCCGCGTTGCTTATCTCGGGCGTCAAGTTTCAGAAACAGTGCTTCGAGCTGTGCGCGCAGTCTTCCACCGCATGGTGCCGCGAGCGCGGCGACCTTGCTTGCGAGTCGTTCAAGGACTATTGGGCTGACTGATTGACGGAAGTGCTGTGGATGCTGCGCCGGTTATGCGCCGTGCGTTGAGCAGAGACGGAATGAAGCAGTCGCAAGCGATGTTTCCGTCTTCGCTGTTTGGGTTGGGTAGGTGGGTGGGTGGGTGGTGGGGGGCGGTCTTGGTCTTCAGCGCTAAGATGCAGGTTTGAACTGTGTACGTCAACGGACATGGGATACATTGGGGGACAATTCTGAACACTCTGGGATATTTGGGACATTACATGATGCACACTATCTGACATGACTTTTCACATTGGTGCTGAGGACTCCCCCACAGGAACATTATGTTTCTACGCACCTTCATGCTCTTCTCATCTCCTGATTCTGTTCCTGCATCGGCTTCTGCTGGAAAAGGATCTTTGTACACTTTACGCTTTGTGGGGGAGATCCTTTGTTTATCTTTTGATTTAATATATTGGAATAAAAAAAAAGAACTGTGTACGTCGAAGCTGTCCATTGCGCCTCATGTCGTTCGTTTCAGCTCCTGTCGTGTCGTTTAGTTCCGTTCCGTTTCATTTAATTCCTTATCAGAGCATCACTGATACGGAATTTAGCAGCTACGTATGTGGCAGATACGGAATTTAGCAGCCATATATTCACCAGCTATGCAGCAGCTTCGTTCCGTGAATGGATAGCCACCACCCAATCCTGGAATGCACACGGTGTCTCGCACCCTTGCGCTGACCGCTGACGGCAGTTATGAAATCCGTGCAGGTTTTGGATGAGATGCTGTGTGAGCGGCCCGCAGGGGCAGATTGGAGGGTGCGAAGACCGAGGGAGGAAATATGGTCCAGCTAGCAGCAATTGCAGTGACGTCGTGCGTACTGTCACTGGTGCTGTCTCCTTGCATCTCGTGACGTCATATGCACTGTCCCTGAAAAGCATGGTGACGCGGATTCAATTGGAGGTTTGGCCACACTGAGAGCCACGCTCCCTGATGCCCTGCTGTTCGCCACCGCTGCATTATGTTGGGATTGCCCCAAAACAACCGAGGTGGAGTGTGCAGTCGATGGCGCCCACCATGGCTAAGGGTGCAGCGGATAGCGCAGAAAAGTGGTAGAGGCTTGCGCTGTGGACGATGGTCCAATCGGGGCTTCGGTTGGTGAGTTGGGCAAGCGCGCTCGGCGTGCTTCTTGCGCCCAGAAGTTCTCATAGCTGAGGGATATTTGTTGCTCTGTTTCCTGATTTGATGTTGCCGGTCGCGCTTTTGCTGCCTGGACGGGGACAGCCGCGACTGTTGTCCCCGCGCGAATTCGCGCCCCTAGACAGTGTTTTTGGGTCGTATTTGTAGCAAGTTTTGTTCTCAAACGATATGAAGGCGTCAGGTGGACCTCTGCAAAGGCGCACCACCAGTTGCCCCGGGGGCTGAACTCAATTCTGGCGTTGTTGGGCTTTGATTCGTATGCTGCTTAGATTGTTCTCGAAGGCTTTTAGATCCCAAAGATTTGGGTAGTGTTTTGCGACTTCGTGAACGGACGTATACAATAGTTTAGTTGATGATCAGGCTGTCGAGATCGCCCCTGTGAGGTATGGGGCTTCGTACATGCCACTGTCCCATTTGACAGCTAAGTCTCCCGGACTGGAGGGATTACATGCTTCAACTGCAAACATCAAATGTCGTCAGAGTCCGGCAAAGTGACTTTGGGAATTCCTGAATTAAACTCAACTCTTCTGTCGGTTCCTCTTTAATAGGAGGGATCCCAAATTGGTGTGGTTGACAGGGCAGGCACAGAAGCGCCAGGAGCAGGTGCGAATGGCTGTCGAGATAATGTCTCTACAATGCTGTCCCTTTCAGTGCCTTATTGACAACATGCTACCTCCATTTCACAAGTCAGGTCCGATCTCGAATTCTTGCTACAACTTGGCAAGATCAGCTCAATCAATGAATCTGCCACCATGTTTGGATTATTTGGTTGATATTAGGTTGATGTGGATCTTTGCTATGTTGGTCACCACCATACAACATGGCATTTAACAACCTTTCAAGAACGCCCTTGTTCCATTCCATGCCCTCAGCTCCCCGCATTGTTGCATTGGCCATATCTCGGTATGTCACAACCCAATGCACCAATATTGATTGCGAACTTTGTTGCAGACAACATACAGGTAGTGCTACACCCTTTTGCTATTTTGATGGCATTGCTGTAACAACTTTTAGGGGTCGTCTCTTCTAGTATGCTCAATCGTGCCGTCAACATTCTTGCTGACAACAAGTGGCCGCGTTTGCTTCCATCTAGGGCGTTTTTCTTGGCTGATTCAAAGGTGCGCGGCCTTGAAAACCTTGGCACATCCGAAAGATAGATGCTCTTGCAATGATCAAGATGTCTCTTGGCCTTTCACCATCACTTGCAGGCAGTTGTTGTTATTGCCCAACAGCAGTGAACTCAATTCCTTTCCCTCGCAGATTCTGTTTGGGATCAAGCCGAACATTTAGAGGGCACCAATCCACCAAATCACACATCTCTCTAGTGACAGCTCAGATCAGTCCAGCTCTTTTTAAGGGCAAACCACACATGCTGTACCCATATATAGCGAGAACGGCAGCAGCATTTGCAACGTCTGAGGGCTCTACGAATAGCTCTTGATATGCCGCCTCGAACTTGTTTCGGTCAGTTTTGACCTCTGTAACGGCAAATTTGAGATCGGACACGACTTGCGAAACAGAGGTGGTTTTAAGGTAATGCGTTGAATCTTATCCTTTTCAAGCCTCTTTTCTCTGTAGAGACTGATGCGACATCGATCCCCGCGCGGTTGGCGCCAAGTAGACGTTGAAACCCCCCTCAACCCCCCCGCCCCCCACCCCACCCCACCCCCACTACCACTACCAAGGAAGAGGAAACGAAAGACAGGCAATAGAAGTGAAGACGCAGAAGTTGCCACTGTGAGAATGCCCACCTGGAATACCAGAATACTTAGAATACCTAGAGACAATGCGCGGCTGTGCTGGCCCACGAAAGGAGTATTCCAAGCAGCACCATTCGCTGTACTGCAACGACACGATTGCGATACTGCCCCACCCTGCAGCACGCTGCCCGTGTCGCCATCCATATCGACCATGTGCTCTCTTCAGCTTGACGTTGGGCCCCCACAAAGCACCGACCACCGCGGCAGCAAACCCATTATCACTGCTGGCCCCATCCAAACGCTTTTGCGCCGCCGCGAGCACCCGCCGAGTGCCAAAGTTGCCGATCGCCCGGTCGCCAATGCAGAGAGCGCGAGACGGCGCCTTTGACAATGCTCCAGAAACGACCTTTTGCTGGGTGTTCCCAGGGAAGCTACACAGTCGAACGGAAGCTTTGTCGTACGACAGCCGTTCGAAAGTCCTTGCTGTGTGGTAAACGCACGGTAGGCTAGGAAAATTCTGATCAAGTTTCCAAATGACGGGTAGTATTTGAGGGGCTAGAAACTGAAGATGGTCCATTGAGACACAGGCTCTTAAGGTAACTCCTGCTTAAATTTGCCTTTGAAACATGGAACGGAGCCCTTGCACACTGCAAGGGTTAAGGGCGTGTATACATGCAAGAATGGTCTTCTGTTCGGGCAATTAAGCGCATCCCAGCTTGTTCGGCAACGGCTCATTTGTTGTCATCCTTGTACATTAAACAGTCTTGAAGGCCCCGACGTGGCCAGGCCACAAAGATGCCGTCCCATAAGTGTCCTGGATTCCCCTAACGCCCGACCATTGGCGGTGTGCCAATTTTGGTGTACCTTTGCGCCACTTCCACTCCTTCATTCTCAGTGTATGGCCACCTTGCTTTTGACATACTGTAGCAATGATGGGTTGTACCATGGGCGATGCAAGGCAGGTGTGCCGGCAATTTGGATCCGGGTCCAATGCTGTGATTCCACTTCCGCCCCGCTCGTGGTTTTCTGTCCCGCCGTGCTTGACAAGCACTGCTTGTGTCGCTGCAAATCCAAGGCGCTGCTTAAACGGCGCCATTGGAAGTTGGCATCCATGCGATAACTGCGTTTTTTGAGGGCCCGACTGGCGGGGACCATGTGAGCTCTCTCCCTGGGCTGCCATTTCCCCCTCCCCTTAATTAGAGGGCTTATAGACCTAATTAGGTATGTGGCGGCTGAAGGAGCAAAGTACTGGATTTGGGGCTGACCGTTGGGCTGCATGTATGCGTTTAACACATGCATACGACATGATATGTTGCATGTACATGTTGTATGTGTCATTGCATGTGTTGTAGATTATTGTGGGGCAGCGAATACTGGACAGGCGAATGGGCGCAACGACATGGGCTTATCTACACGACATGGGCTTGTACTCAAGTGGCAATGGACGCTAGCTGGAAGCCGTGCTCAACCTGCGATGGCGCTGTCGCCTTCCTACAGGTGGGCTCATGGGGACGACAAAGCGAGACGACTTTCGCCACGTGCTCTGCACAGCGCTCACCACATCGCCCGGTGTCATGAAACCAGCCCGGCGCGCCATGATGCGACGCCGAACCGGCACGACGTCATGCAGCGCCGTGCTGACGTCATGACGTCGACCAGCGCTGCTCCCCCCCCAGGACCCCGCAGCGCCGGCCGCCCGTCCGACCAACCACGGCCACCGGACCCGCGAAGCAACCACCTCTACCGGCATTCTGGCTGGCCAGCCGCCAGCCAGAAGCCACCAACCCACTTTTCGCCCGTGGCGGCCGCTCGCCAATCGCGTCCAAATCCTCCAACATCTTGAGGGGCCCGCCTGCCAATCGCGTCCAAATCCTCCAACATCCCGAGGGGGTGCTCGGCGCTCGCACCATCACATCAACACATGCGTCAGTAGTGTACTCCAGTAGTGTACAGTAGTACTAGTAGCGTACAGTAGTAGTACATCTCCACGCCCGGTCAATACGTTGTTGACGCGCGTGTGTTCATGCCCATCAGCAGCGCCCGCGCGGAAGCTTCCCCACTGAAGTGGCCCCAAAAGCTGAGCGCCCCTCCCCGTCTTGTCGGCACACGTCACGGGACTCGGCGCCGAGCCCTAGCGCTGGGCCGCCCCGAGGGCCAGCGCGGACCTCCCGTTGACCACGGTGCAAGCCGCCCGCTGACCACTGGTGGTCAACACCACTGCGCATGCCGAAGATGGCGATTGCGCCACTGACGCCGATCTCGCATCGCGGGAGGCCGCCGCGGGCGATCCTTGCGTGCCTGGCGCTGGCCGTGGGATTCATGGCTCAGGGAGGAGCAGCAGCGGATGTTGAGTCGATCCGGGCCAAGTACGGCGCCATGGTGACCACGGTGGCGCAGGAGATGGCGGACCGATACGCCCGGCTGGCGGACTTGGTGGATCCAGATGCGTGTGGCTGCAGCCACCACGTCTGCGGCAACCAGTTCCCGGAGGGGTCCTGCGTGGACAACGGGCACGTGGGGGAGGTGGACGCGGGGGAGGTGGACTGCGGCGGGCACGGGCTGTGCGGGCGCACGAAGGTGGGGCGGGTTGGATTCTGCTTTTTTTTGGGGGGGGGGGCCAGGTTTGGATCGGCGAGCCGCGGATTTGGCCTCGGATTGTCAGCGCTCCGCGGCATGGCGCGTCGGACCCCGGGTGCTCAAAGCGCTGAGCGAGCGTGTCTGTTCTTTCGGTCCCCGTTCCGTCGATGTCATCCTCGCGTCGCTCCTGGGTCGCGCTTTGAGCAAAGAGTGAAAAGAGTGTCAGAGGCAGTCACCTGGCCCGCGCGCCCAAACCGCCCGGGGCTCCCAACCGCTCGAGCTTTCTGGGCGGGCCCTTGGCACGCCTGGCTCGCAAGGAAGGGGGGGGCCTGCATGGGCGCCGGCATCTCGAAGAACGCGCAAGCCACGACGAGTGAGGGGGCGGCCAGCGGGAAGCCCCGGGGACTTGCGTGCGGAGGGAGGAGTAGGGTGGGGCGGGGGCCCCCGAAAAAGCAAGGGAGAGGGGACACGTGGGGCAGGCCCCTGCCGCCCGAGTTTGCACCACTCGTCGGGGCCCGTCGGGGCAGCTTCTCAGCCGCGCGTGGCCCTCGTCGCTGAGGCGGGGGGGGAGGGCGAGCGCAGCCACACGAGGATTACGCGATTGGGCGGTGGGGCACCCCGACGGCGCCCACCAGGCTGATCCCGGCACGTCGATTCCGCCTAGCCTGATATGACAGCGACAGGTCCATGGCTGACAGCTGATTGTATGACTACAAGGGGGAGAGCCGGTTCGCGACCTCTCTGCAGCTCTGTTCCCTCAGCTGTGTCTCCGGGCCCGTGGCCGTGCCTGCCTCCGACACAGTCCCACCCGAACTTGGCTTGTCAGCGCCACTGGGTGGATTCCGTCGATTCCGGCAAGCATGTTTTCGAAGCGCCGTCAGCTTGATTTCGGCAAGTCGATTCCGGCATTTCGAATCGGGCCTTTGGGATGGACAGCGGCGGGCGCCACCAGGCGAATGTCCTGCGCGCAGTTTAAATCCAACACTTAGCGAATTTCAGAGCCTGGGAGAGTTTGGGAATGCCGAGACGCCCGTTTTCGGGGCACATGAAGGTGATTCGGGCAAGGCCATTTTCGGTGCCCGCCAGGTTGACTCCGGAAGACAGGCTGAATAGGGCCTTTGGTTTGGGCAGCGGAACGCCATCAGGCGTCCTGCAAGTAGTTTAATTTGATTTGCATGTAATTTGCGCATACATTGTAAGCATACATTATGTATAACCAGATGTGGTCATTACAGAGCACATCAGCGCGCCCGTGCAATTCGCCCGTCGCATTTCGCTCACATCGAACAAACGACTCTGCGGAACAGTTCGGCAGAATGGTCGCTGGTCTTGCAGATTTCGGGCTTCACTTGCTTATAGGCAGGGTGGACCAGTACATTAACCAATAAGCTGGAATAATGTATTGAAATCTTGATGCCAAGGCTGCACTGCACCAGCGTTTGTGAGCTCAACTCGAATCGAGGATCGACTGTGGACAATTTTGAAGCTCCCCACATTTGCATAAACGTAGATAAGCAACCAAGTAAATAGGCACAATGAACGTGTAGACAGCGCTCACATTTTTGTGCGCTTGTGCCACAGATGAATCTGAACATGTCGTCCATCCGTACCCCCAATGACCTCATCCAGACATCTCCGCAGCTCCACGAGGACGTTGTCAGGGACATCTGCATGACGAAGGTGACAGCAAATTTGGCGCGTGCGCACGTTCTTTTGATTGGGGGTCCCTGTTCACAGCAAGTTCTGGGCAAATGCATGATCGAGTGCAGCAAAAGCTGAATTTGAGCACTCTTGGTCTGAAGGATGCCTGTAGGGTCACGGTTGAACCAGTTCATGACCTCGCCCTTGAAACTCGAATCCGTCATTTTCAGTTTTGAGTCGCAAATCTGGGAATTGGATTTAGAGATCGTTTTAAAAGCCCAGCCAAACAGTGTGCTTGACTTACCCGACACGGCAATGCTCACAATATATTATGTTATTTTGATCTGTTCGCATAAGCTATGCTCTTGAGTCTATACTCCTAAATCTACATCCTTAAACTTGATTTATTCGACTCATCTGAACTATTAAAGTTGTTAAATTACTCATTTTTCTTTTTGCATGAATCTCTGCAGGCTTGTTTTTTACGCCATAAAAACTGACCGTATTTGCGTTTTTATGCGTAATAATAGTTTTTACGTTTTTATGCATAAAAATGCGTAAAAATACATAAATGCGACGTAAAAACTGCCCGGTGTACGTAAGGACAGTACATACAGACTTACGGAGTCCGTAGAGTGGCAGCCAGGCGCCCTGGAAGGAGCAGAAAACGAGTTTTTGTTGAACGCCATCATCGCCCTTGCCAATGGCGAGGTGGACATTGTGTTGCGGGTGTTGGATATGGCGGAGGACTGATCATTGTACGCAACTTTCATCGTGTAATCTGGGCGTCCCAGGGAGCCGCAAAAGCGTAAAAATAGGCCCTTTTGCAAATTTTCAATTTTACGCATAAAACCGTAAAAGTGAAGACGTAAATGTAAACGTAGAAACCCAGCCTGAATCCCTTGGGGATTCGACATCCATCC